CGGCTGCCGCTGATGAAATGTCGCAAATAGGAAAATGCCGGGATTAATAGTAAACAGAAGGGGCATTTCCGTGATGGCATGGTAAGGGCCTGATTTCAGGGGGTTAAAAAATACAATTCCTCATGTCAATGGTGGCATACTACTCATTGGAAATGTGTTCTGGGAGAGGAGGTATTGGATGTCTGGTCCTCTTACATTTAGAAGGAAAGTATAATTTATTTAACGAGTGGAATTGCTAAATCATTTATGAGCACTAATTACACCATAACTTGTCATTATAATTTGACCTGATTGATCACAAACAAAAACATGCGTATATTTAAGTGCCTGCATTAAAATTCAGTTGATGGGCCTAACATTAACCCAAACTATGAACACACAACACGTAGCCAAAAATACATGGTTTATGTGAAGTGTCTGATCATATCTTCTCTGTAGAGTCAGGTCACGAGTATAAATAGCACATCTAAATAAGACCACATCTCAGCACGGTGTAAAAAAAACCCAGTAGGCATATTTACTTTATAGGGAGGCAGACAGTCATAGGCAGATTAAAAAAAAAAGGACTTGGAACAGGGGCAGGAAGTCAACAGCACGGATGGCTGAAGGAAGCGAGCTCCAGACTTATAGGGGCAGCAAAAGAGAATGAGCAACTTCCCTCTGAGTGAACGTTTGCGTGGGGGGCTTCGAACAGGTCCCTGCAGGGTGGGCTGGTAGGAACATTGGAATTTTTCACTTCGCTAAAGTATTGAAAGGGGACGGACGGACGGACACATTAATCTATTGCAGGCTGGTACACTCAGTTTACAACTTCGTTCCTACCAGTATAAAGAGTATTTGTCGCTGGAACGGAGCTTGTGTGGAGGGGAGTAGAGCGAGATCAGACGGGAGAGGTAGGAGAGTGCATGGAGGGGAGCAGCGAGAGATGAAGAGGGGAGAAATGGGTAGAGGCCAGTCCAAGGAGAACTGGGATACTTAGGTCAAGACAGTGAATGTCTGTGTCTGGACCTGTCTTCTTGGGTTAGCAGAGTGACAGAGTGGTGATGTGCTGGCATCCGAGCCAAAGGGTTGCAACACCAGTCCCCTGCCTCTCCTGCTGCCCTGTTCCCTCATCAGCTAAGAACGCCCTTTGCCACATCATCCCGTGCTTGTTTCACAGTCTAAATTACCGATGTAATGTTCCAAGGGACCCTCATGTTCCACTAGAGATGGTCATACAGCTCCGTGTAAACAAGTTATTTAAAGACTTAAAAAAATTAGAAGCCATCATTTTCTTTCACAGGAAGCTGAATAGCATTCTTTTGAAGATAAGATGAGAGACTATAATTTAAGTGTTTTTTTTTCTCAAATTCCATTTGCATGGGGTCAGTTATTATATCTCTACCCACAGATTTTTCGCCAGTGTGCAACACGTACGAGGGCTCACGAAGCACAAACAGTTCCATGGGGCAACAATTGGCAGCGACAAAATGGAGCAGTTTAACGCGAAGGCCATCACGAGTTTGAGCAATACAATTTATTGCATCACATGCGGCACAAAAAAAAGATCCAGCCACCGCTTGGGTTTCACCGCTGGCATCTTTTCCGAAAATGTGGCAATGAGCCGCATCAAATTTTGCCCACAAGCAGCGTGCTGCTTCGTTGGATAAGGAACCTGTTGGCATCGACCATAAAAAGGCAGAATGCACTGTACACAGGATGCTGCCGCAGCAGCATCCCAGTTCTCAACTAAACTTTTTTTTTATTTTACCAGGTAACGCCCACCGAGCTATAGAGCTCTTTTTCAGAAGCGACCTGGCAACAAATGATTGCTCAACGAAGCGGCTTATAGTGTGGAAATTTAAAGCAGCCAAACACTCTTAAACGCACGTTTCTAATTGTGGAGGGAAAAACCGGAGGACCCGGAGAAAAATCCAGACGGCCACGGGTAAAAACACGCAACCTCCAAATATACAGGCGTCAGGGTCGGGATTGAACTCATGAATTCCTGCGTACAAGGCAAGGTAGTTAACATCTCGTCATCTCCCGGCACGGCAGTTGAAACAATGTTGCAAGTTTCTAAAATACCATCCCCGCCACCGTTCACCCAGTTGGGAAAATGGGTTCGCCACAGTTAGTTAATCGGCAGATAGCGTGCTGTGGGGTAAATAATAATAATTTACACTTCTATGACGCCTTTCACCAAGAGGTCACAAGGCGCTGTGTGGGTAATCCCACCGTTCTAGAGCTCCCTCCACTAGAAACAACTTCTTTTTTATTTGTTAATTTCCAGCAAAACACAGCAACGTATTTTGGCCCCTTTCAGTTCCCGTGACAGTCAACTAACACTTGTTTTTGTGGACATTCCAATGAATTTTGATTTAAAGCTTTCGTGACTGCAGTGATTCATATTCTTGGTTCTTTCGGTAAAGTCACCACGTAGAAGGAAAACAATAAAATAATAAAAATATATATATAAAACAATAAAATTATCACGACGTTTCGACCGTAACACAGTCATCATCAGGTGTGAAAACCAACGGCAAGAAACATTTATATGAATGTTAAGTGAATGCATCTGATAAGAATCGATGTCTACATTTCTCCAGAATACAAACTCAGGTTTCCCATATTATGTAACTGCTTGAGGGCTTGTGTATGCACATTCTTGTCTTTGCGTACAATTCCAGTTTTGTTCGCATAACAACAAAATAATATCAGCCACGACAACATTCCAGACTAGGTTGCATAACATATATAAATCCAAATTATATTTTTATATAATTTGTACCACGTGAAACCTAACCTGACTGGAATACAACTTTGTATGCTCACAATGCATTCTTTTAATTTCTGCTCTGCAAATTGCTTCGCAGGATGATGTGCTTTCTTAATGTTTAACTTATGACACCATTTCTAATTTACAATGTCACATCATGTTTACCTTTGAGGGTTCCGATTGGTATGTACCACACATTCTAACCCGTGTGTAATGGCATGTGGGCCTTTTTCAAGAACGACAATGGCATTGGAAAAACAAGTTCACGAGAAACACTTTAAAACAAAAACGTGCAAGAAGTGAAATGCCTGTTTTTATGAAACGACCAGCAAATGTGGTTGGATTCTTGGCTCATTGTGGCATTTTGAGAAGGTAACGATACACGTGTAGTGTGCTCACCCTTGGGAAATGACATTCATTGGGAAACATTAATTATTATTCAGAGAATTACACGGGGCGTAATGGGAATACTCATTGTATCTGCCCATCACAAGTCATGTCATTAACACGTTTCACACATTTGCCCTCGGGTATAAATTCTCCATGGGGTGATAGTGGTGGCTAGCGCACTGCACTTTGAACCAAACGACCTGGCCAAATGACGGCCAGCACCAGTGGCGAGTTAAATATGAACTGGTCCTCGGTGCCCCCTTCACACACTCGCACTATCCAGCATGGTGAAGTATGGTTAAATAACCCCGACGACTTATGGTGTGGTGAAGCTTTCATCCATCAGTTAACTGACAAAATGCTGCAAATTTTGAAGATCATGATAATTATATATTCAATGTCAAATCAAGTGTAAATTTAAAAAATGCGTATTTACATCACAAACAATGGCAGTTATACACATAAACTGAAATAACTTATATCCATGCAGGACAATACAAATTTTAAAAGTTGCTGGCAATGCTAAATCAATAATGGTAGCGTGCAAATTTCTTACATAACTGACAAAAGAAAAGGGTCTGGGGCAAACATGTCGCGATGCTCTGCAACCCGGGAAGCATCTGAAACTTGCAAATGTTTTCATGCTCTCCGTAAATATAGGTTAGTGTGCCATATCACTCGCTCTACATAAATTGAGGACAAACCCAGAAACCTCTGCATGGTCAAACATGCTGGCTCTAAACAAGCAACACAGTGCTCACACCACACTTTCAGCCAACAGTAACCTGAATTAAATGAATGTTCATTCTCTATCCTCCAGACAGTCTCGTCCCTTCACCTGATGAAGGCCGCTTGCGTTGTGGCCGAAACGTCGTGAGAATTTTATTGTGTTATTTTATTTTATCAATTTATTATTTTATTCTCATTCTACGCGACTTTACCGAAAGAACCAAAGAAGATGAATCCTTGCAGTCACGAAAGCTTTAAATCGAAATTTAATGAATTTTCATTCTCGTTGTACAATATATATCACGAATTGGGTTGCCTGGAACGAGTAAGGGCTGTGGTATGCACATAATAAAAAAAGACAGGCATTAGCACAAAATATTAGAGATGTGCCACATCCCAAACCAGTTTGTCAGCCTGCTTCAGTCCTTAAACCCCCAATGTCTGCGTCTGGCTGTTCGGGTCAACCAATTCATGGCCAACCTTATGTACGCTCCATAATTTAAATGCAAAACAATGCTTGTGTTGTGTGTGACCAAGAGCAGTTACATGTGGGATCTCTAGCAATGAAGCTCCAGAAACAATTATAGGCCTGGACTTGATTCATGGTTTGATTAAAGATTTTTATGAGTTTGACACCACACCCCCCCCTTCTACCCATACGAACCTCGCTTGTGCCTGCAGTGTTCTGCTTAATCGCAAGCTTAATAATTCTGCAGGGCTTCATTTGATGAGATTTTGTGACAGACAACACACTTTGGAGCCATTAAACACAAAACAAAGTGAAGCTCTTGAGCTGACCTAGAAATCTACGGAGCCTCAAAGGAAGTGCTGCCAACATCAGCGTGCAAGCTTAGCAGCTCCGGAGCCACCCGCCATAAATTGGTCTGTCCCAAGATTTCCAGAACACACAACACCGCATACGGTGTCAACCACCATCCGCCCCTGTGGATGGTGGTTTTCCACACGCACGACAAAAAAAACAGTCCGGCCAACACCCTGCAAGCAGGCTCATTCTCTGAAGAAAATTCTCAGCGCCTTCTTCTCCATCGGCAGCGGGTGGGGTGGGGGGCAGCCGCGCGTCGACGGCACAAAGGCAAAGCGGCGGGCAGGCGGTCGCGCTGACCTTAAGTGAGTCGAAGCAGGCGATGACACGGCCGTTCTCCACCTGGCACGACTTTGGTGGGTGAGCGAATTTGCACTCTGTGTCCACGCGGCTGCACGTGCCCCGCTGGAACTCCCGGCACACCTCCAACGTCAACCATCGCGTGTCCCGCACGGCCATCGCGCTGTCTGGCCCTTGCCTTCGTGGGGAGAGGTAGAAAACGTTAACGGTGCGCGAGCGCGCATAGCCGAAGGCTCGTTCAGCCACATGAAAACGAAACTGAATGTACGGTACTTTTGAGATCAATAACTCTATGCAACACATGTAAGATTTTGCGATGTAAAGATGGAAACTGTTGCATTTGTTTAACACGTAGGCTTTTGCGACCAAAATTATCCACGAGAGGTTTTTTTGGGGTTAGATCGCGTAAATATAAGTGTCGTTAAATTGTGCATTTATTCGTCACTTAACATCGTTTTACTGATAATACATGCATTAAATTGTGCGTTTAATAATCAGTTACGATTTCCGAAGCGTGCAAATTATCTGATGTTACGTTTGAGCTAAACAAGTGAACTGTACAAATGAGAAGAAGAAACTAGAAACCAACACATGAGAGACCATGGAGACAATTCTAAGAACACTAATCAAATTACAAAACTAAATCGAGATGACAATTCATCGAATCATTGGCGGGGAGGGGTTACATCATTACATACCTAGAAAACAGCATGTTAAGGGCAAGAAAAATGACGACGCTGGAGACTGCGGGGAAAACACATACAAAATGTACACGGGGAAAAAAAACTTCAACATTCATTTTACACTTTGAAAGTCACATTTTTATATCATGCAGGACGGCGCAAACAAAGTCAAGTTCGGCATCGCACAGCCACTGGCCACGTTCCCAGAGCATTTTATAACGCGGGTGTTAATAGCCTTTTATTTTAGTGCAGCTGGAAACCGCCACCAGTGTCAAATTATGAAAGTTCCAATATCTGGAAATATGGCCCTATTTGGAAGCCAGTGTATTGCAAGCCAGTGTATTGCGCAAAACCAGCATGGAATGGCGCCCACTGCGGCACTGGCAGAACATGTTTCTGAAGCAATTATGTGAAGCAAACTGCTGCTCTAAAAAAAGGCGATGCTTCTACCAATCAGATGTTGTTTTTGATCCCTTTAGGGGGTGGGTGGGGTGTAGCATCGTGTTTAATCGCCCTGAATGCCTCAGATCCGTCAGATTTCGAAAGCTAAGCAAATTGTTGTACTTGTGTGGCTTAACAGTACGGAAATATCCGGTGGAGGCAGGACTGGAGCTGCCAGATGGCCAGATGATGGCAGTACAGCAATACATTCCTTAATCTATTGGTGTGGACCTCGAGTATAAATTAACCCCTCACATGCATGTTGGATTTCCCTCCCACATGAAGCCCAAAACTTATTGACATAATTCGCCAAACACGAATAGCGATCTGGTCAGGCTTATCTGGGTAAATAATGGGGATTATTATTCTTAATCATGTGAATCATGGGTGAGCTATAACTAGGACTGGAGAGAGGTTATTATAAATATATTTCAACTCTGCACCTAATACATTAGCGCATTTGAGACAGAAACTATGAGCATATTTACGACGTCTGGATGGCTGTTATGTAAAATACTACTGCTCTGGAAATAGCCAAACATTATCCCTAACCTTTTCTGGCCACCCCCCCCCCCCCCCATATTTTTTAAGTGCAGTCATGGAACATTCTGAGTAATTAAATAAATTAACATCAACACATTGCTTTTTTGCGCTGATAGGGCCCCATGGTTTTAAGGAGAATGCTCTTACCAATAGCCTCGGGAAAACCAGCAGCATTTGTTTAGCGAGCCTTATACCAAAAGTTTTTTTTATTACAAAAATGCTGTCGATTATTTACATGGAAGGCAAATAGATATTTTAAAATACATATTTTTTGTTAAATGTATAAACACGTTTACTTTTTTTAAAGGCTTATCAAGTGCGATGATGTCCATGTGAAGAATTTTGGCCAAACACCTTTTTAAAAAAGCACAGCAATTATCTTAAATTGCAAACAGCCAGAGCTTGTACTCAACCGGGCTGTACTCCTGCTAGTAAAATTATTTTGTTGTGTTTGATTAAGATTACTAAGAGGAGAGAACGCCAATAACATTGCAATGTGTATAACATACATCTCTACAGCAACACATCACATGGGGGGATCATTACAATGACTATACTTTACTTCCACTAGGCATCGTGTTATTATACTATTTATATAGCAATTTATTTTTTTATCATTTAGATATTTTATAGTAATAAGTATTGTGTGGCACATAGTACCCTGACAAAGAAATACACCACGAGATATCAGCTGTCAGAGCATTTCCCTAAAGCCATTTTCGAGACGAATATTACAGCTGTGAGCTACTGCGAGATACTGAACAGTTCATTTTAATAGCTTTCAAATATCGAAATGGCTATAAATTAATTATTTAGAGTGCACACCAACACAAACTGTTATACCCCCCCTGCACTCTGAGTGATCTATCTTGAAATCGGTGAAAACCCTGGTAGATGGAACAGATAACACAAACATGACACGACTACATAATGCCATTTTCACGCGTGGCAACATTAAACCGGTCTAGGGGCCATCCATTTAGTAGGTACGCAAAAATCTGTCAAAACTTGACCCCCCCCCACCTGCGTATGTACGCTTGATGCACCCCCCCAAATCCTATAGAACAGCAGATATTTAATACACACAGAAACGATCAAGGATTAATAACATTAACGTGTTTTAGCAAACAGATAGTCCACCTTTCTAGATTTGAAGCTTTCGTGACTGCAAGGATCCATACTCTTTGGTTCTAATCGGTAAAGTTTTTACCTACGTGACTTTACCGAATAGAACCGAAGAGATAGTCCACCACCGGCTGCATTAAAGAATTAAGTTGCGTACCTTGGCCACTTATTTTGCATAGCGGCGTGATAGCTTGGCAGTCTGGGCTACGGTGGCATACAAGTGACACCTCTCCCACAGTCCCCACTTCTCCCGGTAGTACTTGTTGAAGAAACTGAACTGTGGCTCATTTGAAGGCCAATGTAGACAAATTATTATCGAGGCTTCACCCCCCCCCCCCCGTTTCCTATGCGTGCATTGTCAGTAGACCCCCCCCACCCCCCCCCCATACACAAGCGTACGCATTTGGGTTAACCCCCACCTCCCCCCTCCATGTGTACATGCTAAATGTATGGCTCCTTAGTGCACAAGGTTTAATTAAGCAAACGAGTAACGTAAAAATGAAGGATAAAATGTCATTTGTTTCAATGTAATCAAGGGCGATCCACCTCAGCGGTTAAGCAGAGGAGTGCGTTTGTATCTAGTGATGGTTCCACCCCCCCCCCCCGTTCTTCACAATTGAGAATATAAACCAATGAGTGCAACAGGTCTGACAAGGTTTAAAACATCAAAGCGTTTCATTTTCCCAAAACAATAAAAAAAATTACAGTAGAACCTAACCCAGCAGAGGTAGCTTATTGGTCGTCTGTTTTTAATAAACACAGTTGCAACACCGCAATATAATGGCAATGTTAAAAATGGGCTATAAAGCAGTAGCCTGGTCTTTAACCACTGCAGCGAAATCCTGTCATATGTTCTTCATCTAAGACTGCCTCGAGAGCAAGCCCCGCGGAGTAATAATAATACGTAAATTTGTTTAACGGAGCCGTTCATTTCTTTTTCACAAGAGCTTTGCAGGTATAACAAAAAAATCGAGCACAGCTGTAGGTAGTAAGGTGGGTTCGTCAAATATGTTGCACCATGGTGGTGCTTTAATTCCCTGCATTTAAATAGGGCTTACCCAAACATTTCAAAACGATACGGCAAAGTTCATGACGGTCTTTGGGAGATTACAATACCCATTTCCGTTTTCAGGAGCTCCTCCCCGGTAACACTAAAGCCTTTTTAATTGTCACCGGGATCACTACGCCCTATCTCGTCACCTCAAATAAGCTCAGCCGGAATTTGCACCTGGATGGATGCTGTATCACCAAAATCCATGGGAAGTAATACTGCACTATGCTCCAACGTCTATGGCTCCCTGCCACGGACCCTCATCCAGCAGTGGACTATCAACCAGGGGTTGTGCCAGCATGTTTAGAAAAAAATAACTGGTGTCACGTGAACTAATAAGTGAGGCGGAGTTGCACTAAAACCGGTCCCATTATTTTCACGTAAACAGCGGCTGGAGGAGAAATGCACTCACCCGTCTCCGCCAATGGCTGAGTCAACTTCCCCCTTGCTACCCACGGAGCAGGAGACCAAGTGACTCAAGGTAGGATTAATATAAAACTAATTCTTGCACGTTTCTCTTCCCGCTCGGCAGTGGAGATTTTTTTGTACGTTTCTAAACTTGTTTTTTTCTCCCCCCCCCCTTCCTTTCTTCTCGCCCACAGTAATCAAATTCCTCCCACCACCTTCTGACAAACAACCTCTCTTCACTTGCAGTGGCGAGATTTTTTTTTATAATTTTCGTTGTTGTTGTTTGTTTATTTAACAATTTCACGTCCAAGGTGTGGGAAGAGAAGAACCAAGAAGATGTTTTTGTTTGACAGCTGCGGCCCGGGCTTGAGGTTGTGTGGGTCTTGCTTGGCAAATAGCAGCAGCAGGTAGCAGCAGCAGCAGGGTGCTGACGGACAGAAGCAGCAGTAGCAGCGGCGGCGGCCAGGCTAACACGCAGGGTCTAGCAGCCACAACTTGACAAGGCACTTCTTAGCACAGACCTGCAACAACAAACACCATCACCGCCACCACACAAGAGGGCGTAGAAAATTAGTACTCACAAACCGAGATGGTTTGTGTCCACCCAACGAATGTGTGGGTAACACGTGTGTGTGTGTGTGTGCATTTATTAACAACTGGGTTGTTGAAAGGCAGAGGGGCAAAACGCAGCAGCTCTTAGCACAGACCCGCGACGCAACAACCGATTGTGTGCAAAATTCGTACTCGCAAAGAACGATGCTGTGCGTGCGCGCGCGCATTACAAGAGCGCACTTTTTTTAGTCTTACAAAACGAGTACTAATACGAGACAATTTGCCAATACCACCCTGCGCGCGCGCGTGTGTGTGTGTGTGGTGTGTTGTGCGTTCAGTGTGCATTACCACTAAATTGTTACATTACAGCGGGCTTCCCGCCCACCCCACCCCCTGCCGCACCGCACAAACCTACGACTGACTACAGCACGGGCTCAATATTGCCCGTGCAACTAAAAATAATTGACAGCTCACGGCCACGGAGTGGGGTGTTTTGCGTGTGCACATCACCGCCGAAGTGGAGCATCACCGCAGCGCTAGTGAGCGCACACCTGCCACCAACGACGACAGCCTTCACGGAATAAGGAGGGACGTTATAGAGCACGTCCTAAACAAAAAAAAACCAACAACCCCCAAGCCTACGTGTAAGCCAGGCGGGTTGACCAAACGTCTTAAGCACACACATACAAACACACCACCAAGCGAACTGCGCAACAACCACCCAAACTGTACCGACAGCCCAGCGCAAGCACATTGATTATCAAGAGACACGAGCACACATTTGTACGAAACCGAGCAACGCGTACATGCGTGCACACAAGACTGCCGAAACGGGAAAGAAACGCATTGCAAACAGCGGCACGTAGCAAACATCACTCACATCGGCACCCGCTGTACAGTCGGCCATTACAACCCTGACTACACAACTCGGGAGGAGGAGGAGGGGGGGGGGCAGCTCCCCACCCCCCCACCCCACCCCCCGCCGCCGCCGGCCCGCCCACCAACAACACGCGCCGAATCCCTACCGCGCGATGGCCAATCGCGAGCCGCCTACCATCCGCGCGCCCGCCGCCGCAGCCAATGGGAAGCGCCGTATCATAGCCGGCGCGTGCGCTCGCTCGCTCCACATCGGCAACAGCGCCAGCCCACACACCCCCCCCGCCCCCACGAAACCCCCGCCCCTCACAAGCCCCCCCCCCAACCCCTCCCCCTCACTGCCGCCACTCACCGGCCACGCCCATCCTCCCCCCACCCAGCCCCCCCCCCTCTCCACACAAAAAGCGACAAAGATCCCCCGGATAGCCTTGAAGCAAGACTTTTGGTGTAAGCGCAGATGGCGAGCGCCTCTCTTAATAATGAAGGCCGGAACAACGGGGGGTGAGTGGCCAAGCAGGCCACAGCAACCACGCCCGACCCCCTTTGTCTCCCCAGTGGCGGACGTTTACGCACCGCACCTACGGGGAGAACCCAGGAGGAGCTGTTCAGATAATGGTCACTGGGTGTTGGTGGCCGTGAGCGGGACCCGAACTCTGCTCGCCGGGTTCGTAGCGCAGCGTAGCGCTAACAGGAACCGCTATCAACCCGTTCACTCGCCAACCCCCCTAATCCCAGCCCCACCCCTCACTCACCACACCCACCCAAACCCCGCCCCTTACAGACCACACCCACCCCAAACCCCGCCCCTTACAGACCACACTCACCAGAACCCCGCCCCTTACAGACCACACCCACCAGAACCCCGCCCCTTACAGACCACACCCACTCGCCCCGCCCCCCTCAAGCCACCCCTCCCCTCCCTAGCCCCCACCATCCACCCTCTCCAGCCGCCGTGTTCCTTTTACAGACGAATCGATTCGCAGTAATCGGTTCAGCGTCTTTTTTTTTAATCGTTCATTAGAAGCCATAGCGAGCCGTTGAATTGCGTGCAACGGGAGTTCGGATTCGAAATGCGAACGATCGATGCCTCCCCCTCCTGCACAATTCAATCCGTGGCATATCCTGAGAATCGATAATTAAATCCAGAATCGATGGATCGATACACGGCTATTCTAAAACACGAAGCAATATCAACCCCCGCGTGCTGTGGGGGGGCCTCCGTACCCAGACGCGAGAGATATTGCATTAAACCGCACCGAATATTAGCTTCACGTTTATTTTATCCCTACGAAATATTTTATCGCTTCTGTGTGTGTGGGGGGGGGGGGTGGTTTTTGTGTTTGTTTAAGGAAAAGCAGAGGCGGGCGTTGCCGTGAGGGGAGAAAAAAGCGGGTGAGAGGTTCAAGGGCGGGAATTGGCGGGCCTCGATGGAGATTATTACATAAAGCGCTGTCTGTTCCCTTCGACTGCCCAGCCGCAACCACAATGAACTACAACAAACACGCCGAACCATAAACAAATCCAACAATAAATTGACGAGATAAAAGGGACCTTCCCCTCCCCCCCCCATCCCCGTATAGCCGGCAGCAGACTGTAGGGGCAAGTGCTGTAACCCAGCACCTACGAAGACCGGTACGACACACGACCAACCACCCGGCCGCCTTTGTCTCCCCAGTGGCGACGTTTACACACCGCACCAGGTGCTCATTTGAGGCAGAGTCGACCTAGGGGAGGGCCCAGGACTGGTTCGGATAATCGTCGCTGGGTGTTGGTGGCCGTGAGCTGGAATCGAACCCGGGGTTAGCCGGGTTCGTAGCGCAGCGTAGCATTAGCCACGACACCACCTCTTACAAAATCAACTACAGACACACTCGCCCTCAACCAACTATATAACGCCACAACCAACCACAACCAGCGGTACTCAACTCCGCATCGCCCAGCAGCAAAGCACTGCAGGAAAGTTGCTGCCCCACCACCACCACCGCCCCCCCCCCACCCCCGCCCCCCCCACCACCACCGCCCCCCCCCACCACACCCGCCCCCCCCCACCACCACCGCCCCCCCCACCACCACCGCCCCCCCCACCACCACCGCCCGCCCCCCACCACCACCGCCCACCACCACCGCCCCACCACCACCGCCCCACCACCACCGCCTCCCCCCACCACCGGAGAAAGCCGGCGTGGGGTAAGAAAGGGCCCCCCCCACCACCGCCCCACCACCACCGCCCCCCCCCCCCACCACCGCCCCCCCACCACCACCGGAGAAAGCCGGCGTGGGGTAAGAAAGGGCCCCCCCCACCACCGCCCCACCACCACCGCCCCCCCCCCACCACCGCCCCCCCACCACCACCGGAGAAAGCCGGCGTGGGGTAAGAAAGGGCCCCCCCACTCTCTCCTCTCGCAAATTGTGCTGCCACTCCCTAAACCCGCCACGACTCCTCAACGCGCGCCCTCTCAATTGCTCATCGTTCGAGCCATTGTCGATCCACTGCTGGGTGAAGGCCTCTTGCTCGCCGCCGCCGCCATCCTTCACCGTCCAGCGCCGCTCCCGCACATGGAGATAATTCCTCTCCTTCTGACTGCCAGTTCCTCGTCTCATCCGTCAGCCTTCATTCCCCGTCTCACAACGATGTGTTGTTGTTGGTGTTGTTGTTCGACCAAAAGCCAACTTTTCTTCGTTACTGCAATTGTGAGACAAGGCGGGCAGAACCCGAGTTGCACGACAAACGCCAAACCCTAGAATGTGCATCCCTCTCCCCCCCTTAGTATTCTGCCCATCTCTGCTTTTTCGTGACTTTCTCTTCCAAGTGTCAGCCACAGTCTACGTGATGCTCAATATGACGCGGGGAGTAGGCGTTTGGCCCCTGAACCTTGCGAGACTTCAACATTCCTGATCTTTCTTGAGTTTAATTTTAACTGGGAAGTTAGTTGCCCAAAGGCCCCCCCCCCCCGTAACCCTTCCGCTAAAGTACATCACCCTCTATAAGCGGGGACACTGAACATTATTTAGTGCTGTTGCTGGCAACCTTCTACATATTCCCTGTTCCTTTGTGCGTGTCTGCTGACCTGTCCAACATACTGGAATGTTACGATAGAGAACTTCCAAATGTCCAAGCCAATTTTTCAAACCACAGTAAAGAGGAATGGCCTGCTTTCCTTCGTGGAAAGATGAAAGCATATATAAAATGTACCAAATTTCCAACCTCCCATCGATAATGAGCTTCAACGGCTCAGGTATTTGGCAAAGGAAATCACCGTGGCATGATAGTGCAACAAATGAGTCGAGCCACAAACCTCAAGGGCTTCATGACCTGTTAAAAAATGGTATACTTTTCCAGGGAATATAAATATGAAGGCAAATTGTACACCAGTTCCGCTTCCTTGCCAGGTCACACGATGGTCACGTTACGCTCCGCCAGGCCGTCCAATTTGCGCTAGAACCCCACAAAGAGGTCAGCACAAATTCAGGCTTTAATGACAATCGATAGGCCTCGAGTCACGACGTTCCCAAGCCCGCTGGAACAGACACAAGCAAGCATTTTTTGCTATATTTTGCGGACAGGGCGCCTTTAGCTATGTTTCTCCAAAAAGGCGGTGGTGTTCAAGGTCATGGTTGTGTGAACACTCACACCTTACAAATCCCGCAAAATGTACTACTTGTGTAAGGCCGCTATTATAATGTGGAGATAGATGCTACGGAGAAAAATACATCATTCTTGCAAGATAATCCCTATGTTGAGCCTTTGAAAAACGTGGCACGGAGTATACATGCAGCATGCGATTCATCCTGATGAGTAATTTGCGGTGATCTTTCAGCATTGAGAAGTTTGGCCAGTACCAGATACATTGTATGTTGGGTGTTTATTTTTCTTAGCTGTGTGAGGAAACCGGAGAACCCAGAGAAAACCCATGCAACAGAGGAGAGAGAAGTTTAACACGTACACACAAAGGCGTGCCAGTCGGGAATCAAACTTAGGCCCTCCTTGCTGTGAGGTTACTGTTGTATATATAGGTGTTATGGCTCATATACAACATTACCAGTGTTACCACTGTGCTACCCTGCTGCCATAGTTAGCCCACAATGCATGAGATCCTTACAACATACCCATGCATTCAATAGTCAGGTCATTTTGTAATTTTGTGCTTTAGTATTAGTTTAATTGTGTTCGACTTAATACACATTTAAATATGATAAAACATCTGCTTTACTGTATACATTGGCCCAACATTGAGGGAAATCGGATATATGACAAATTTTACAGGATAATTTGCAAATGGGCTCGAACATGAAATAATATGCCATTTAATAAATTCCCTAAAATTCCATAATAGTTACAAAGACTGCCCTTTCTGTATCCGAGGTGCATTGCCAAAGCAGCTGTGCAACTGACTGGGCTCATCTATTTAAAAACACGAACGATCGTAAATTATTAATCACGGCAGCAGACTCTGACCTTGTTGTCCATACTTAATCTCTCACAGCATAAGCCGGGTTCGTGTGCATTTGTCTCACAACCAAAAGCTTTCGTTTAAATCATGAACATAAACAAATGGAAACCCTTAAATCGTATACCGTGCTGTGGAACCAGCCGATGTGCGTAGACAATAATGGGAGAGTGAATGACATATTCTAATGATGCTCCAGAAGGCTGAGAAAGATGCCATTTGACAAAAATAGTCACAATTAGGGCCCAGAGGTTAATTAGTGTTATGGACAGGGCAGGGTCAGATAGGATTTATTTATTCAGGCAGGAAATTGGCCAATACGCTGGTAGGCTCTATTTCAAATTCTTAACATTTTGTGCTCAACACTTAAAAACATAAAATCTCTATCATCAGTGAATAAAGTACAGAAATTTGCCTCCTGTTGAATGTGACAATAAACCCAAGAGAAAGCAGACAATGCGTCATTAGAATGGACAGCTTTTTCTCAGGCATTATCATCTAGGCACATTGGCATGTTCCGGTTACTACCGCGATAAGCAGAACAAAATTATCCGTATATGTTTATGGATGGATAAAAACACATCTATGAATAATGGCAAGCAGTATTGAAGTAGAAGTTTTTGAAACACATGATTAGAAACGC